CAAAGACCACCAAAACTACAGGATAGACCATGTGGCCATAGATTTGGACTCTGACGACTAAAAGATCATGTAAAGTCTTAAAATTTATCCACATGCATGGCCATTTGGAGGTTGAAGGATAAAAATGATGGTCTAAAAGTTGCATGGGACTTCCATGACCATAAAGTTAGTACCTTTATTCCATGAAAACCCCTCAAGACCCTATATCTGAAGTGTTAACCCATTTGGGATGTCTAACTCCCAAGGACCATGATATTTGGGTCAAAACCAAGCAATAGAACCCCAAAAGAAGATCTAAACAACTACAAGGCAAGGTTCAAGCTTTATACCAGAAAAGGGTCATGGATGAGGCAAGGATTTTGGATTTACAAGCTCCTTCTTGAGTCTTCAAGCTTTTCCTTCTTCCAATGGCTTCAACACACACCAAAAACACTTGAAATGGATCACACACACTCACAATAGCATTAGGGTTTTGGACAATGGAGGCTGGAAATGAGGCCAACACCTTAGGGTTAAGGTGTTTAAATAGGGTGCAAACCTTGGAAATTAGGGTTTCGTATCTGTCAGCCTACTCGTCAAGTTGAGGTCTCCCAACTCGTTGAGTAGGTCTCTTAAAATGCGCAACCTTATGATCTCTACTCGATGAGTTTGGGACTCCCAACTCGTCGAGTTGCTCTATAAAATATAATAAATTATAAATGAATACGTACTAGGAACCAGACGTTACAGTTTCTTTAGTACTTAGAGAAACGGGGAAAACCCAAGCCAACTCGTCGAGTTGTCATGACAACTCGTCAAGTTCCTACAGTTTCCAAAAAAGCGGGAAAACCCGATCCAACTCGTCGAGTTTTCCCAACTTAACTCATTCAGTCTTTTTTCATCCCTTCTAACGCTCAAGAATGTAGATCTGGAACCCAAAAGCTGAAAAGCCACGTAAAGTTGCTAACTTTACGTCCATGCATAACACCAAGAGACTAAAACACTCAAAGAAGGCTTAGAACATGAAGGAAGCCTAGATCTAGATAAACCTTGAAACTTTAAACCCAAGGAGGCCACAAAACGTCCAAATCTGAAGTTATAACTTCATGACATGCTCAAACCTAGATAAAACCCAAAAATGAGCCAAAATGACAATAAACTTCCAAGGAAGAGATCAAAGCAATAGATGAGCAAGTTTTCGACTTTTTACCTCAAAAGAGTAGATAAACTCAAGAAGATTCTGGATCTCAAGCTTCCTCCTTCAAGCTATGCACCACCAACTTCAAGCTTCTTCAAGAGAATACCAATGAAATACTCTTTAAGCTCTCTCTCACACACACAAGTGGGAGATAAACACACGAGACTAGGATTTCTGGATAGAGGGGGCGATTAAGGAGGCCAACAATGGGACTTAAGGCCTTTAAATAAGGTGCAACACCCTGAAAATTAGGGTTTCGTATTCAGCCACCAACTCATCGAGTTTTCTTTTCCAACTCGTCGAGTTGGTTGAAAAAGATCCGCGGCCCATAGACATTCAACTCGTTGAGTTGAGGCCATCAACTCGACGAGCTCCAAGGAAAAATGCGGTTTTTAAAAGAAAATTCTCATATCTTAGAATCAGGATGTTACAAAGACATATAAGGTGACGAATTTAAGATTTACTAATATGACATTTGGTCACCCTTTTCAACCGAGACACTATCTGTCACGGGTTTTCTAATGTGATGAATTTCAATACAAGATTTAATCACTTAAAATGAAACTTCGGCATTTTATATGTCTTTATGCATCATTTAGTAACCGTTACATGGTAAAATTACATATTAAATAAAAAACATGTTATAAAAGATGGCATTTAGCCACCATTTTCAACCATGATATTACTTATTATTTTTATGTAAAATCATTGTTAATGTTTCAAGTCTAACTTACAATGATTTCACATTTTCAGGTTTTTACTTAAAGTTTAACCGAAAGTAATCATGTGAATTAGTTAAGGAAAAAAACAAACAAACAAACACTATACAGATTTCAAAAACCATCACTAAAGGCTAGTTTTATACGAGTATCAACCATGAATTAAGAATTGCTATGGGTCGTTTTCAGCAAGATTTTCTAAAAACAAGATGTATATTGAACATGAAGATGATTAAATGGAAATATAAGTTATTTATTTGGAATGGGGACATGAGAAAAGCTAAAACGAAAAGTTTTAAAAAGGCAAAGACATATGCAGAGAGAAGTACAGAATTATCTCTGCCAATAAAATCCATGTGGCAGGAGACTGCCGGCCCTCCCCTTTCTTTCCCCCTCATCAGAAAATAATTTATTTTGTCAACATAGATAAATACACAAGAAGATAATTCAACAAGTGTTTATTTTATATTATAAATTACAGAATTGTATATATCATTTTTCACAATAAAAATAAAATTACGTGAATGTCATATATTTTTATTCTTTTTAAAATAAATAAGTAAAATATGTTTAGGAACTAATCACTAGTTTTAATTTTAATACATGTGAAACTGCAAAATATATGTGAACTACAATTTTACTAACATTTTCAATCCAACATTATTTTTACACTAAAAAGTAAAAGTTAGTGCCAATAATGTTTAATCATAACTTCATGTTTTTGTTACCAAAAATTCTATTATTAATATATTTATTATAACTTAGCCAAAAACAAATTTTCTTTTAATTAACAAATATATATTGCATCATTTTTATTCAAGTATAATTTTAAATTAATAAGGTTAATTGCATGTTTTATTAAAACATTTTATTGTAAGAGATTGTCATGTTATAATTATTTAAAACAAATTTAAAATTTCAAGTAGATTCGAAACATAAAAATTAAATTTTATATTACGATTATCTAATATTATATTGACATATTACATGATATTACAACAATAAATAGTTACTTGTACGTTATAACAATAAATAGTTATATATAAATTATAACTAGTCAACAAAAAAATAAACTAAAAATATATTAAGTTAAAACTGGAAGCAACAAAATTAACAAATAAAGTTTTAATAAATAATTCAAAATCAAATTTGATGTTTATAAACTTTTCTCAGATTAAAATATTGTAAGTAATGAAATTTGGTTGAGAAAAATGAAGACAGAAATATAATAAAAATAGAATTTGTAGTGAATTTGGATATAAATATATTTATACAAACAGTTATTACATATTTACATATCACATGTCACATGTGGTAACATATGAGAATCACATGAGGTCGTAACAGCGAAAATCAAAATCTAAAAATTACTCACTTTATCTGATTTATAATTTCATTTTTTTTTCCTTCAAATCACTCTAATGTTTCCAAAACCAAACGTACAAAACCTGAACTTACTTATTTACCTAGTGTCAAATTAAATGTATTTAAAATAGTCAAACTAGATTAAAAATAATACTATGATAACTTCGATTTCATAAGAATCCCATGACTATTTTGGAGAGGATTGAATGAAAATGTTATATTGCGATTTAGGGGTTTGGTGTGAGGGTGGTTAGTTGTACATATTCATGAAAAAAAAATGGTTCCACACAAGTACATGCACACATTTAATTGTTGAAAATGAATTATTAATGTTTCACTTAATGTATTGAAACCTTTTTTTTATTCGTTTCCTATAAATCCTTTACTTTTTTAGTCTTTTTTTTCGGAAGTTTTGTCTTCAGATAAATTTAAATTCTCAACATTTTGGCTGATAAACTCTTTTCCATCAACAAATGATCACAATAATAATAATAATAATAATAATAATAATAATAATAATAATAATAATAATAATAATAATAATAATAATAATAACATTTCATATACTTTTAAACCATCCAAGATAATAAATATAATAATTGAATTTAATTAGGCATTTATAGAGAAGACAATAATTCTGTGGAATCTTTAAAATTATTGGGTTCGCACACCCTGTTTTTAGGCTACCCATGTGTATACAAAACTCTTATTGGATTTATCACCCTTTTTAATTAAATTTATTAAATTTTTTAGTACAAAAATATTAGTAACAAATTAATTACCCACTTACTTTCCTCGTTTCTTTCTCCTTGAAAATGTCAACATCTGTTAATTTATTTTATAATTATCAAGCATCATTTTTATTATTATGTAACTTGACCTTTACAACCTATTTTTCAGTTTTTATATTTGTTATTTTCAACTTTGGGAGGCTGTACCCAAGTTGTCCCTTTCTTTCTTTTCTTAAAACAAAATTAAAACGGAACAACATTTATACGATCAATTTAGGTTTGCTTTCAAATCAAGAGAACTTTGAAGATTACGATTTGATTTCTCTTTCGGGTTGCTTTCAGACCAACATAATTCTGAAGATTGTAGTTCTTCTTTGTTGCAATCGAAATTCAAGATGAACGAACGCGTTTTGATTTCATGATTTTTGTTGGTTGGAATCTAAACTCGATCATCTTTTCCCTTTCTGTTCTTCTCCCCCTTCAAGAAAATTCGTTGTTCTTTTCCCTTTTTTTTTTTCCCATCGAATCATCGTCTGTTCTTTATTCAGAGTATTCCCAAAGTTTCCAGTCTCTTTTCTCTCTCTGTTTCTTACTTTGCCTGTGTGAGAGAGAAAAAGAGGCTGATTGCATGCACTTGAATCAGTTTTTCTCTGTCTGGTTTTATTCAAAGGATTAGGGATTTAAGGATTTTGGCTCTTTCAATTCGATTTCCACAACAAATCCAGTTATTGTTTAGCTTCTGTGTGTGTTTTTTAGTGCGCGAGAGACAGAGAAAGAAGGCGGATTAACTGCATGCACTTAACGCGTTATTTTATTAAAAAATTCGCTCTGGTTGATTGAATTCCGATGAAGTCTCTGGATTTGTGCGTGGATTTCAGGTGAGAGAACTTGCTCCTTTGATTGCGCAATTACTAGCAATTAATTGTTGAATTCAGTAAAGTTCACCTGCTTCTTTTTCAAGTCGATTGAAATGCATGTATGATTTTTGCTACCATTCATAAATTTCAAATGGACTTAACAAAATTGAAGCATTTGAGATTCTTTGGGCTCCATTTGGGTTCTCTTCTCTCCAAAAGCTTGTTCTTAATTGTAACTGCATTAATCATCCGAACCCTTTTCCTTCCGGAATCCTTTAAATTTAGAACTCGTAACCTCCATAAATTCGATTTATTAGAATCAAAATCCGGAAACCCCAGAACGAGATTCTTAGAGGTACCCCAGATTGTATGGGGATTAAACAACCAAAAGATCGCCTTCGCAAGAGCTTGCTTAACAGCAAGATTACTAAACAGAACCCTTCTCATGCCTAGCTTAAGCGCATCTTTATTCTACAAAGAAATCGATCAATTACAACCGATTTCATTTGATAAAGTGTTTCAGTTCGATAAATTCAATTCACTCTGTAAAGGGTTTGTCCAATTGGGTCGATATTCTGATCTCCATAACCACAGCGACATTGTTACTGTTCAAAAGGGAAGTGGCAGACGATGGACGCCTGAAAGAGATCTCGATCAATTACACAACTTGAAGCATGACGAATCCGAGACGATTCGTATAGCTGGAAAAAACCCGTTTCTATGGCATGATCATTGGCCTGTGAAAGATTATGCGCAGGTGTTTGAATGCTTAGTTTTAGTAGAAGAATTCTCAAACGAAGCTGATAAAGTCGTAGCCAAGATAAGAGAATTCGGCTCCAAATCAAAATCAGACATCGATTCTCCATATGTAGCAGTTCATATGAGGATTGAAAAAGATTGGATGATACACTGCAAAAAACTACAACAAAGATCAAATGTATCAGAAATTTGTAGTAGCAAAAACGAGATCACAACTCGGGTATCCAACATCCCGGGTCTAAAAACACCAACGGTTCTTTACCTTGCTGTAGCTGATGCACTTCTTGAAGACGGGTCGATTTTGAACGGGTGGGGCCCCGGGTTGCACCCGGTTGAGAAGAAGAAACTGGGTGTTGTAGAGATTTACAAGAATCATCCGTATTTGATTCAATCTGCGATTGATTATGAAGTTTGTTTGAGGGCAGATGTGTTTGTGGGGAACAGTTATTCGACATTTTCGAGTTTGGTTGTTCTTGAAAGGAGTCAGAAGATGGTGAAAATGGGGGTTAAAAGAGGATGTGAGATTGGGATGAATGTTAAATGGCCATCTTTTGCTTATAATTTGAAAGGGGAGTTTGGAGGTCCGAGGCCATGGATGACTGATTTTTTGGATTCAAGTTTACAGGCAATTAGTTATGGGTCCAATAATATTTCATGTTGAGTTGAGGAGATTGGTTAGGATATAAATTGGTTTATATATTACATTGATGATTCTTTTTGTAAACATGTTGAGTTGTATAGATATTGTTATACTGAATCTTGTAAACAATTTAAGGTTGTGTTTCTATTGGAAAATCTTTGGTATTTAATTACTTAACAAGTAAAATGCACCGGTTTATGTTAACATGTTTCATTCCTCAACCATTATGCTCAATCGCAAATGCAATTTGTCACAATTTGAGAATTTCATATTTGAGTTTTTCATTTTCTTTGAGTTTAGTGACTTTTTTTTAGTGTTTTATCAAAGCATCCTGCTTTTGTTTTGTGTTTGGGGAAACATTATGTAACCATTGTGGGACAGGTGATATGTGGGCTACACCATAGCGACATATTATTCTTAGAGGTGATCAGATCAGATGGTTAGTCAGCTTCGGGTTAAACGATCACTAAACCGACCGATAATGTTGACTTTCGGTTAATTGGTTTTCAGATTGTCATGATCGACTTGGTCAACTCAAATTATAATTTTATGTATTATTTTATTTTTGAAAAACAAAAAATCTTGAGAATACGAAGAGAATGATAGAATTGTCACTAAAAGAACATGTGCTTCCTTGGGCCAATTCCAAACAAATAAAAGAACTCGCCCCAATTTTTTATACCTTTTTAAACGATCTTATCCTCACGGCAAAAATTGTCAATTTTGCACTTGGAATGTTGGAATTTACGCATGACTTCCTTTAAAGCCAAAAACAAAAGTGTTTGATCTTTTATTTTATAAAAAATGGTCTTTTCTTTACGTCATTGTCCATGCAGTACTTTGAAAAGGGTGCTACTAATTGGACTCTATTTTATCATTTAAACAACCCTAATTAATGTTTGAAATACTTTTATTGGTTGAAATTGCATTGTTTTCCGAAAAAGATGATTACAAGTAGTTGATTTTTATAGAAATGATTATAGGGTGTCTAAGGGGTGTCTTATTAGCAACACCATTTTCATCTTTTGTAATTGACAGCTATTTTCTTTGATGAAAATATTGTGCCCTTTGATTCCTCTTCCTCTTGACTTTGTTCTCCTTCGACTTTTAGTATAGTGACCAAGCACAAAAATATGATGTATAATTTTCTAGACCCATCACATATAACAAGTGTTGTCATGTCATGTCATCGTTGTATAACAAAAAGTGACGTATCATGTTTTAGACCCATTATCATCCACTACAAGAAATTAGTGTATTACCGGTCACACGCATTGTCACTAATAGTAGCGTATGTCGCCGCTAAAAGGTCGTCGTTGATGCCTCGTCGCTGATAATCCAAATGTCGTCGCTACTACGAGTTGTTGCCGCTAAAGGCCTGTAGCTGCTTATAAGCGGTCGTCGCCGCTAAAGTCTTGTCGCTGCTAATAACCGACTGTCGCCACTAAAGGCGTCGCCGGTATTGTTGTTTTGTTTTTTTTAATATTTCATATTATAATTGAAAAAAACTGCATAAAAACTACTATGATATTAATTATTATAATCCTACATCCTTCCATTCCAAAATATTAATCCAACATCCATTTAAAATAATCATCCAATTTAACATAATACAAAATATCAAAAATACTAGTCTAAAATGCTTACACAAACAAATCATACAACTAGCTATTCGTCAACACCGCTCTCCTCGTTTCCTTTAGTTTCATTTCTTTGTGGCAACGAACGAAATCAATCTTCAAGTGCGGCACTACCTGTCGGATCTTTTAACATCGTTTGAAGCATTTCCAACTACAAAGAAAACAACATAGTCTTATAATTAGTTAAGCCAACATTATAACATTCTATATATAAAATATCATTATAGCATTGTACTTTCAGAAACTAATAATTATCAAATGTACTTTCAGAAACTAACACATTATAGCATTGTACAATAACTAACAATTACCAAACTACAAAATACCATTATAGCATTGCACTTTTACAAACTAACAATTACCAAACTACAAAATACCAATATATCAAAGTATAACCAAACTAACAATTACCAACATATAAAATATTATCAAACTAACAATTACCAACATTCCTAATACTAAACCAACAATTACCGACATTTGAATCAATTACCAAAATTAAATAGTCTTGTCACCTATGATTGTGGTGGTGGTTGTGTCAGTGGTCGTTCCTGATCGTACATTGTGACATCCTCAATTTCACGGCCAGAAAATACCGATGTGTTTATGCTTTATTTTTAAAATCACAATAATCGTTTAAAGAAAACGATTGGGGAATTTTTTTCCCAAAAGAAAATATGATAAGAATTTATCAAAGCATTTCCTTAAAAAATGTATTTTCATTAAATAACAAAATCTCGGGATGTCATGTTCCGATACAGACACATAAGCATAAACATAAATTACATTTATTTACACTAATGATTTACATCTCTTTTAATCTCTCAGTGAAATATGTCTTCGTATTGATACTTGATCAGAAGATGATCGGACAACGCTACGGCTTGTAGAAGTAGTATTCTTCGGTAGATCTGGAAGATCTTCACAAAAATTGGCTTCTCGGTGGCAGAGCTTCGGCTCGGTAATTTTACTTCTCGGGATCTTTGGGGCTTCGGAACTTGCTTCAGGTCTCGGGGTTGCTATCGGGGCTTCGGGATAGTTCTTGCACGAAAACGATGCAAAATGGGAGAGATAGAGAAGGGAAAAGGAGCAGAAAAGTCGGCTACCCTCGCACCCTTTATATAGGGTCTGATCCTCGGACTACGCTGGGCGGACCGAGGCATTACAGTGGGCGTAGTTCGGGTCAGGCTCCAGGTGGCGAAGTCTCGGTGGTGGAACATGGACGAAGCTGGGCCAAGCAAGACCGAGGTACGCGGGGCGTAACTCCTTCGGACGCGGGGCATAACATGGATCAAGTCGATGACTCCCCCTCCTTTCGGATAATATCCGAAATAAATAATTAAATTTATATATCTTAATTATTTAAAAACTTCCGAAATTCATATCTTCATCATATGAACTCTGTTTTCTACGTTCTTTATATCTACGCGTAGGTGAGACTACGCTCTACAACTTTCATTTAGATTCCGTCGGCAAATTTTGACTTTATTTTTATTATATTATTTTTAGTAGGTCAAGACAGGAAAACTCCGTTATTAATTCATAACTTCTTTATCTGGCGTCCGTTTTCATCTGTCTTTTTACCGTTGCACCACTATCAACAAGATCTTCGATTCTCGTTTGGATTGTTTTGGCTAAAAACCGCTCGATCTCAAATCGAGTATTCGGGCTGCATACCGCTAAGTTGAAACTTTAGAAAAATCATAACTTCCTCATACAAAGTCAGATTTAGACGTTCTTTTTATGAACGCTCTCGGTTTAACATATTCTACGACTTTCGTTTAGATCGCTAAGGCCGAATCTCGCTCTATCGTAAATTCACTATTTACGTCGCGCTGTGTCGTGCCGGTTTTGTCGCGAAACTTCGACAGGTCATAACTTCTTCGTTATAATTCGGATTTCGGTGTTCTTTATATGTACGGAATCCTTGTAACATATACTACAACTTAGTTAAGATTATTCATTCTAAATAATTTTCTATTAAAAAGTCATTTTTAACGCTTATCATCTGTAAATTGACTAGCCCTGATCTACAGGCGTTACAATTATCTCCCCCTTAGGATGATTACGTCCTGGAATCATCAACGAAATAGGGCTTGGATAATGATTCCATACGTTATCTTTTCATCCTAAGTACTAATCGTAACTTCTGTGTCTCCTTGAAAGAGTATTTAACTCTAGCGCTTCTTGACTGCAAATGATGCTCAATCTTGCATATGCTTTTCTTACCATGTTGTACATTCAATCGTAACCTTCGAGTTACCAAATAAGTCCTTATTGAGGACTCCTTCTTCTTCTTAGGATAAATACTTCCCTTTATCTATTGCAACAGACCGATCGGTCGTGCTCTAATGACCTCTTGTCGCATGATGCAACGCTTAGACTTGGTCTTTTAGAGTTAAATTCCAAAATGGAATATACCTTCCTTCATATTCTAATGTGATACCATCACATTTTTAGCATCTAGTATTTCTACCTACTAACTTCTTTTAACAACGAGCGCGATACTATCGATCGTATTAATTTCAACCTTCTGACTTGAGTCAGATGCTACCTCAAACTTGGTTCTCTGAACCACGTAACATACTCACCGTAGTCGGACTCAATTTGATATGACCACTAGGGTCGGAATAACAACCATCTTACTAGTCACTACCGAAATAAGGGTAATGACACACTTGAACAAAACAGAATCAATTACTAGCTTCTTGGTAACCTTGTGACTTTCCCTGATCCAAGTGTGAGTCATGTGTTTCCGGTAGTATATGCATCTACTACCTTTCACACCTACTCATACTCGTCCCAAGTATTGTCCCGCAGTCGACCAAGTCACCATACAAGAAAATCACACAATCATACAGCACATTAGATAGCAAAACTAGGGTTTATATTATTTCTTGAAACGATTACACAAAGGTTCAAGTTCACCCTATACTACGCCTCTAATAGGCTACACTTCCTGATACAGACTTTATATATTGATATGAAGTCTTCATCCTTGAATCCTCGCGTTGTTTTCGGCTTCGTCGAGGATCATGTGGAATGCCCTTGACTTTGGTGGTGCCTCTAGCCTTGCTGCTTCATTTTTCTTTGGGCAGTCTCTAGACATGTGCCCCTTGCCTCCGTATTCGTAGCACACCTTATCATTGTGTGTACAGTTCTTGGAATAGTGGCCACTCCTTCCACATTTGTAACAAGTTACTTCTTCGTTGCATGTTCCAAAGTGCTTCTTCTTGCACTTTTCACACCACTTGGGTCCATACCTTTGGTCATCTAGGTTAGACTTTGCGAATTTTCCCTTACTATCAGGTCTTGAGGATCCTTCAAGCTTCCTCTTTTCTCCAATTTCAGCTTTCTCCAGACCCTGTTCCTTCTGTTGGG